GGTGTAATCGCGCCAGCTGCGGTCTATTCAGGCACGGCTTCATCCATGATTAACATGAATAAAAAAGACGATGCACGCGCGCCTGAAAATGTGTCCGCAGAATGAGACCCTGATAACCAACTCCTAAACTTGTGCTAGACTAGATTGATGGTCTGGAACTTACCTACAACGCCTTCTGTGTACTGGGGTCAATAGAATAAATCTGGCTATTTCACTCAGATGAGGGCTCGGAATTAGTCCCTCGGGCTTTTCAACGATTCATGGTCGCATAGAGAGAACATGTGACGCCTGATATTTAGGACTTGGGACATGACGGCACGAGTCTTGCTCCATGTGAAAGCTTCTGACAAGTTGCATTACCCTTGTCTTTCATGTTGGCCTCGAAATTTCCGGTGCCGTCGGGGATGACGCGGGAACAAGCCTTTCGCAACTGGATTCTAATCAAAGCGGCAATTTTGTAAGTGCGGACGGAATTGCCCAAAACGCCGGTTTACCCGCGACGGCAACGGCATCACCAAGTTGCGCCGAAGTTGCCAGAAGTACTGAGCTTCATCATCTTGCATCTCACACTCGAAATGAGGACGAGGTTACTCAACCCTTCGTAATGACATTGCCAATCGTATCAGCCTTAGTAGCTCTTCGCTGTCGGTAACCTGACTCAGTGTCACGTTGAAGAAAGTAACTACCCGTGACAGTAACAGGGAGAAGAGGAAAGGCCCTCTGCAGCATCAAGCAATCCAACTTCGAGTTTGTTTTTCATCAACTCCCTTGGATGGCTGATTCACGTGGAGAACCACAGGTAAAAGATTTGTTAAAGATCGTTGATGCTTTGAATTGAGAGAGTCGATGTCCGACCCTATTGCTTTTCTTCGAGTTGTAACTAATCGCGCAACTTTCTTCATGGTCATTCCACCGCAACCTTCTCCCACGTTCTGCATGTGAAATTGTCTTCCTCTGAGTGCCTTCAAGACGCGCTCTCGCTACTCGCGCCTTATCTAAACTCCAACATCTCTCACAACCACCAACTACAGTCGCTCGTGGTTGTCTTAGCCACCAACGATGACACCGCCACCGACAATGACTGTGCCGCCGCGGCCACCGCCACCGGTGCTACGACCACCACCTCCTGTGGTGCCGCAGTCTTGGCGCTTTCCAAATCCACCGCTTTCGATTTCCAGTGGAAGTAGGATATTTTGGCGCTCGACTGGGTCGGAGCTGTCAAAGAGATCTACGTGCATGGGGTCGACGACGGTGCCGAGGGGAATGTTTTTGTCGTCACTGGCGAACATGAAGAATGTGTTTTCAGGTTGTTTGCCATCGCAGTTCTTGAAGTCTACGACTTTGTTGTCTAGGCCGGCGCAGTAGTTCTTGTAGGTCTCGGCGCCCTCAGTCATGCGGGCGAGGAAGAAGGCGGTCGCCATGACTCGCAAGCCAGGCAAAGGAATGTGTTCTCTCGTCATGGTTGCGAGAAGGAAAACAAAAGAGTGTGGTTGGTAAGGACCGTGTTTGATAAACCTTAGAGAATGGATGTTGGTCGTCCAAACAAAGACACCTGCAAGTTATGTCGTGGGCAAAGTCCACATTTATGTTCTTGAAGTCCAATGCACCCTGGGGGCCTTGTGTTCCCGCCGCCTTGCGAGGCCCTCGGGAACGCCTGACTCGATGTGTTAATTCTCTGTCGATCACGCATATTCCTCATGTTAAGCACCAATTAAGCACCTATTAATAAGGTTCTGCAGATACCTCAATTATATTATTCACGCGACTCACGCACGGAACCTTCGGGGGCAGTGTTTAATAGAAGTGCAATTCCACGTTTCTTGGCATTCTAGATCTTGGTCGAAAGAAGCTCACTCTTTACTCTTCCCCATGGGACGAACTTTCGGTCTCTCCTGACATAAATACTTAGACTTAAAGTGACCCGGGCGGAGACCACATTTCTGGGCAACTTCCACGCTCTTTTTCAAACACTTCACTAACCCTCAACCACACTCGCTCCAACTGTCCTTACTGCGCTACAATCCCTTCAATGTGAGTCATCAGCCACCATTCCCACGTGAGCAAGAACCTTGATTGCTAACGTGACGCCAGATGCACTTTTCTTCCTTCATCTCTGCAGCGGCGCTATTCGTCTCGGCTCACGCCGGTGGCTTATGCGCAGACACGACGGTCACGGGAGACGCCATTACAGGATTCCGATTCTCTACTGGCTACTGCCCAGGCGGCTGGCAGTGGTACTCTCGTGACAAAGGCACCACTATTACGCTCAACCCGGATTGCCAGATGCGGCAGGCGTGGCCCAACCCGCAGGCCGTCACGGCCGTGTGCATCCGCAACAAGGCCGGAGAGAACAAGTGCGTCAAGGCCCCGACGGAGGCCGACCAAAACTTCTGTGGAATCCCGACCGATTGGTGCAACAATATTGAGAACATGTGGGGTTGGTAAACTAGAATACATGGGACGATAGATTTTTCTAAATTAAGACCTTCTTTTTCTCCTACTATGCAGTGCCTCGGCTCGCCAAATCTTTCCAAAACCTATGCTTCTCTGACATGTTCCTGGAAGCTTAAAAAAGAAGCTTTGAATATATGAAGTCATCCTTGCTGTAGGGCAGGCCTTCTGTTCTCTGTGCAATGCGCCAAGACCCTAACGGTGTTACCGGCAGGCCTTCAAACTTCTCAGGCTGACCTTTAAACTCAAAATTGAGCGCCCAGAGATCGGCGGGGTCCGAAAACGAACTGCTATTCGCATTCTGCGCGTAGAAAGAGCGGGCGCGGCTCATCGCATGTGTAGGGATGATGCCGGTCGAGTCGGCTGCCACTGTGCGTTTGATCGCCATGTCACTGAGTCGTTGTCTCCTGATAAAGAGCAAAGCCACAAGTCAGGCGACTTCATCCCACTCTGCAACCAACATAAAAAAGTCTTGGCATCATTTAATAGCAGGCGATTCTCATGCTCGGTTACAACGAGTTTGAGAGAGAGTTTGCATTGAATGCAGCGCCACTGGATATCAAAGTCTACTCAGTTACGTCTTGGCATGATCGGTAGTTTTCAGTCCAACTCTCCCCGCCATTCTCTCTTCGAACGAACGTCTTCCCAACCAGCTCACTCACAGGTACACCAACGTCGATCAGCTTAGAATCATCACCATAAACACTACCAACCATGCGCCGTGTACCTGTACAGAAGAGGCCAAACGCCACGCGCCTCGTGCAAAGTCAAGGTCTCGTCTTCGCCGACCTCGTAACGCCAGGCGGAACAGAGCCCTACTGGCCCGATGATCGCTACTACTCCTTCACCTCTGAGGAGGTTGCCTTGTTAGAGGCCGCATCCAAGGATGTCTTTGCAATGTGCTGCGAGGCGGTGGACTATCTCGTGGAGCACAAGGACATTATTACGGACAAGATGGCAGTTCCCGCGTACACGCTCAAACAAATCGTTGACTCGTGGGACCGAGAGCCTGCTTGGGGAAGCATCTACGGTCGTTTCGACGTCTGCTTTGGCGGTCTGGATCACCCTGATCCGAGGCTTCGCGTACCAAAGTTCTATGAATTCAACGCGGATACACCCACATCCCTGATAGAGGCAGCGTCAATTCAGTGGCTTTGGCTAGAACAAACGGGCCACGGCAACGACCAGTTCAATCACATTACCGAGTCACTCATCGAGGGCTGGAAGCGCAATTTGAATCTCGTCGAGGAACAACTGGGCTTCAAACCCACCGTGCACTTTGCCGTGGGAGAAGGCGAGCCAACCTGCGAAGACGCATCAAACACGATGCTTCTCATGGACACGTGTCAGCAAGCAGGATGGCTGACGAAGGCCATCACGGTGGAGGAAATCAGCCTGTCCAAAGTCGACGGCCGCTTCTACGACAAGCAAGGCGAGCACATTGATGTTATTTTCAAGTTGTACCCATGGGAGTACATGGTGGTGCAGAAGTTTGGTGAGGCGTGTTTCAAAGACATGGAAAACATTGGAAAACGCGACGCGACGGGGCAGTACATCGGCGGCACAATCTGGATCGAGGCACCATACAAGCTGGTGTGGAGCAACAAAGCACTCTTTGCTGTTCTTTGGGAGCTCTTCAAGGATGACCCGCGATCCAAGTGGTTGCTTCCTACCTATTTTGACAACGAGGTGCCTGCTACACTAACAAGGTATGCACGAAAGCCGATCTTCTCCCGCGAAGGAGCCGATGTGGTGCTTAAGACCGATGGGGAGGTGCTTCAGGACGCGTCCATGGGATACTACGGATACGAGGGGTACGTGGTGCAGGAGCTGGCGCTGCCTCCTGACTTCAAGGATGAGCAGGTCCAGTCCAATTTTCCTGTCTTGGGGCTTTGGTTTGTCGATGGCGACTGCGTGGGGATGGGTGTCCGCGAAGACAGAACGCCTATTACGACGAATGCCTCGGTGTTCATCCCCCATTCCATCTCGGATGGGCCCGTCAATTATGAGCGACATCCGGTCCCAGATGCAGATGAGATCGAATCGCAACTCCGGGTTGGCACATTTGAAGACGAATTTGGCCAGCACAAAGGAGATGAGCTGATAGATTACATTAAGAAGATCATCAACGTGTAGATTCCGGGTAAGGAAGGAAGTCATTAGATGAGATTAGCGTATAGAGTTGAATGTCCCAGTCAGTCTACTCGTTTACCAAAAGTTTGAATATCACATGTCCCCAATAATCTAGCCAACTTTGAATACACGTCACAGTAGCGATACTTGAGCCACAATACAGGGCCGGAACTCGATCCGACTGTGGGCCACCTCGGGCCGGACCGGCGAGACTCCACCGTCGGCATCCCACATCGTCGCGCCGCCGATCCCCGCACTATCATCTCAGTTTCTCGCCCGCCTTTCTTCCAACACTACTCTCTCAACCCGCACGTCCCCGAGTGCTTGTATCTGGAGGAATCTTCTCTGTTCCGGATTCTCAATTGATCCAATACATCTCTGTGTATTTCAAGGGCTGAAGCCAAGCTCCGTTGGCAATGTCGTCGCCAAGCGCCCAGAGCAACTCCGACCTCGGAACGGTGCGCGAAGCTGCGTCTGACAATTTTGAGCTAGAGAGCGGTCAACAGGCTCCTCCTTCAGATGCTCCAAGTCTACGAAACACCAGGTCAGCAGACATTGAGAACAGGATTTCATCATGGGCATGCGTTCTGGGAGCGTTCATATTCCTGCTGCCATCATATGGTGAGTCTGATTCCTACCACCTTCGAAGACACAGTCTGTTAAATACATCACTTCAGGATTTCCCCAGGCTATCGGCACAGTCCAAGCCTATCTCCAAATCCACCAGCTCTCAGGATACTCGGCCCGCGACATCGGCTGGGTGACGGGCCTCTACACCGCCCTCACACTTTTCCTCGGAATCCAAGCAGGTCCTATAATTGACCGTTATGGGACCGAAGTTCTCGCACCTCTTTCTACGGCTCTTACTCTTCCAACTTTCTTCCTCCTGGCCGAATGCAAGTATTATGGCAGTTCATGCTCTGCCTCGGCATCTACGGCGGTATCGGCGGCGCGTCAGCATCGACGGTCGCCGTGTCCGTCGTAGGCAAGATATTTACGAGACTGCGCGGTCTCGCCATAGGACTAGCACTCACTGGTTCTGCGCTCGGTGGTGTGGTCTTCCCATTTCTTCTGCGAGAGCTGTTCCCCAAATGGGGCTGGGCATGGTCGATGCGGTTTGTGGGCTTCACCATCGCAGGCGTCATGATCCCAGGGACGCTATGCTTCATCCCCTTCGCAAAGCTGTCCCGAACTCACCATCACACGCAACTCGTTGTTCCTTCACAGCCATCTACGGACCCCGCTGTTTCTACCCCGAGACACCGCGCCGCAAGCGCGACCATCAACTTCGCCGCCTTCGGCGCCCCCGCCTTTCTCACTCATCGCAGCGGCCTTCTTCCTTCTCGAATTCGTCATCTTCGGCATTTCAGGCATCTTTCCCACACTGGCAAACTGGGCCGGGTATCCTGCTGACACGGGATATAACATCGTAGCCATCGTCAACAGCTGTGGCTACATCAGCAGGATCGGAGCCGGGTTTCTGGGCGACAAGCTCGGGCACTATAACGTTCTGTTCACAAGCACATGCGTCACCATTGTGTGTGTCGCAGTTACGATACTCCCATTTGGCACGACGCATGTCCAGGCCCTCTACGTGTTTGCGGTTCTATGGGGCTTCAGCTCGGGAGTGTTCTCGTCCCTGATTCCCGCATGCATGGGCAAGACGTGCCAGACCAAAGACTATGGTCGATGTTTTGGAAGTATGAATTTCACTGTCAGCTTTGCTCTCTTGATTACAGTTCCAATCGGAGGTCAGATATTGGAAAGTATTGGCGGCATGGCACTCGCGGGCTTATACGTCGGAGTTCTCTGCATGGCGGGCGGTTGCATCCTTGCTCCTAGATTTCTGTTGGTCCAGTCATGGTTTGACTACAGGGTGAGGATTTGAGTATCTTCACATATGTCTACGAGAGATGCGAAGGTTCTAACAAACGTGGACAGTCTCTAATCTTCAATTCCCATTGTATGATATAAACTACATTCTATGATATGAAGAGACTGTTTAGTCTAAGCCCACGCTACAAACAAAAGAGATAAACCCTATGATGAGAGAACATTAGCGCTTCTATGCGTCTATGCTCATGCTCATGCTGAATTACTTAAGGAAATGTGTCGCCCAAGCTAGAAATGACGTGCTCGCGCCAGTAAAAGAAGCCAGAGAAAGCAGCTCCAGGGCCGAGCAAGATGTTGCTAGCAAGGTTAGCCAGACCCGCGACCAGGGTTTGCTTGTTGGTCAGGTATCCCTGTGTCCTCAAGTCCCAAGTCAGGTACGAGGACAAGGTGATAGAGGCCAATCCGAACAAGGCGCCGCTGCCAGTGAGCAGACCCGCAGCTCCAACTGTGGAAGGGCTCTCGAAGTTGGTGTAGATGGCACCGACGATGTGGGCGACGGCGCAAACTCCTGCGGTAAAGGCGTAGGTGGACTTCAGCGGCGCAACATCCTTCTTCTGGTACATGTCGAGGAACTCCTCTGTGTCTTCCTCCTTGACCTCGACGTCGGGCTTGGGCGGGTTGATGAGGTTCTTGACGGCCTTGATCGCGTTGGGGATCAGCTTGAGGAGAGCTGCGCTGAGCAGAGGGGCCGCGGTGGCGACGACGTTGGCGGCTTGACGAAGTTGCGGGTTCTGAATAGGCAGAGATGCCAGGACCATAGGGATACCGTAGCCTGTGACAACGGCGGGCAGGATTGACTTCGCGATGTTGGTGGGAACATGGCGGCCGGGGATGTTGTTGGCGCCCAGAAGAAGCGTTGCCAAGCTGAACGCAGGCATGACGGCCTTGGGTCCGAGAATGGTGTACGCGGCGACGGCTGTGGCGGGCCTGCAGTCTTTGTTAGTTATATGGATACTCGGCGATGACTAGGATACGTACCAAGAAAGAACGGCGATCTTGTTACCAACGCGGCTACCTTCTACAAACCACATCGTGAGAGCAGAAAGGAGGTTGGCTCGGAGCTGGATAGTCTGCGCTGTATTCTCCGCCGCAGGCGCTGCAAATGAAGCAACGAGGCTGGAGTTGCTCGTTGCACCATTCAGCAAAGCTGGAAGTGCCTGGAATGAACGGACGACGTTGGCGATGTACGCTGGCGACGCTGCTTGGTACAACAACGCACCCAGGACTCCTGCAGACAGAACGAATGGCGCCCAGGTTGCCTTGCTCTCGATAGGCCTGGCAGGGAGCTCGTCGTTGTAAGGGATGAGACGGAGTCTCTTCGGAAGAGGGAGTCTCTTAATGTGGTGGCTGGCTGTGGCGATAGGAGTGATGGTCTTGAGGAAGCTCTCCTCGCCGAGGATAGGCATGAGGACGTTCACGACGATGGTGGAAAGGGGCGATCTGCCGGTCAGGATCATCTGGAGGTTGTGGGCGCTGGAGACCAAGGCCTTGGCTCTCGCGTGGCGCTTCTCGTGGACGTAGGCGAAGGCATTGCTGATGTCCTCCTCAGTTGGGTTCTTGGGATTCTTCTCGAGCATGTCGGTCAGGGCGTTGATGAGGAGGGCTGCAGCTTCGATGGCGCCGTTACCGCCTTGACCGGAGATGGGGTCGATCTTGAACTCGTTAGTCTAGGTCTTGAATGCACAGGGGTTTGAATGCCACCCACCTTGTGGCTTGCGTCGCCGATGGTGATAATCCTCTTGTAATGCCACTTCTCGAACACGTACTCCTCTAGCGGAACCAGGGTCGACATGATGCGGTTCTTGTAGATGGCACCGAAGGTCAAGTCATCGTAGACCTTGTCATCCTTGTGCTCACTCGCCAACTTCTCCTTGTCATCCTCAGAGTATCGAGGAATATCCTTGCCGTAAATGGTCTTGCCAGTGCCCTTGAACAAGAACCAATACGTCCTGTTGCCGGGCGCGTGCACAATCAGATAGCTTCGGCCCCCTTGGTGCACCGTTTGTTGTGTGTACGGCGGCAGGTCTGTGGGGCGTTTGGAGATGCCAAAGATGCACTTTGTGTCGACGGGAACTCCTACAAACGAGTAAGTAAGAGGAAATGTAAGCACTGCAACACTTTAGGTGACGTACTGGACTGCTCATCTTCGGGGAAGTATCCTGGCGTCTCTTCCTTTCCAATGCGCCACATCTCCTCTCTAACAGCGCTGTGAATGCCATCTGCGCCAACAATAATATCTCCCTCATAGACGGATCCGTCGTCGGTGTGAACCTGGACACCACCCTTGACAAGATCAACTCGAGAAACTCTCTTCTTCGTGAGAACCTTCTCCTTGTGTTGCAAGTTGTCATAGAGGACCTGAAGAAGAATCTGTCTATCAATGAAGATAGAGGGGTACCCGAGTCTGGAATGTTGTTAGTGCCGACTATGCTGTGTGCCGTGTTGCCAGATCAAACATACCGGTTTTCCAGGTGGTGAGTGGAGGTACGCGAGTTTTCTGATTTTACCCTGCCATCAGATCCGCGAATACTAGCCTTCAGGTAAAAGTCTCCTGCAATGTCGCGGATAGGCTCGTAGCAGCCGAACTGGTCGAGTATGCGGAAGCCGTTGGACAGCAGTCCGATACTTGCACCGACTTGGGGTGCAATTTGGGGGTAAGCTTCGAGGAGGACGTAGTCAATGTTGAACTTTTCCAGCATGTTCGCCAGAGACAGTCCAGAGACACTGCCTCCAGCGATAATGACCTTGAAGCCCATATTGAATTTCTGAAGTGATAATCGCTATGCAAAATAAGATGAAAATGGAATGGTATAATGTCAGGTGGTTGTTGATTTCTAGAATACTGATGTCTACCAATTCAAAAGCGAACAACTTCAGACGACCTTCTCTTTTAATACAATTCCCATCTCAACAGCGGCAGATCCCCTATGTTTGGAATCGGCTGGCGTGGGCTGTCCGTCCGTACGGTGGAATCGGGTCCTAAATGACACCCGAGCCGAAGCCTGGTCCCATGTACCGGCAGGCGCCAGCATATGAGACGGTGCGGCATCCACTTTCGTCAAACAAAACAGACAAACAGCTGAATCCTACTGGACTTGCTGTGTTCGTCGGGAGTTGCTCCAGCTGAGGCCCGGTGACAGGGGGCTCGGTAGTATGAGGATTCCCATCCTGGAAATCGGACCCGAGATCGAGCCCACAGAAAATCCCGAAGCTAGGCCTGCGCCGTGGCCCCTTATTCGACCGTGTTTTTGGTGTGTGGCTTGGGCGTAGCACGGCGGGCTGGACTGCCGACCGCCGACCGTTCCCTTGGATTTTGACACGCCAATGTCTGCCGATCACGGATTTTGATGTGGCTTTGTTCGTCCGGTCGGTTGGTGTTCCCCGCGTATTCAGAGGGAACCGCTGCAAACTTTGGCATGATTCATTATCAGATGGCCGTTTCGATACGCTGCTCATGATATCCTACGGGCCGCATTACCGCTGAGTCATCTTATTTGACTGCACGCTTGGGCAACTATCGCCGCGTTCTTCCTTTATGACGTTGATTGGTTGAGTGGTTCGAATTCGGAAACTGTGCTCTCCGGTAAATGCTGCCCACCGAGCTGTTACCTTGATCAACGGAGTCCATAGTCAGCGAGATTGCAAGACGCGTCAGCGATACACTTTGAACCTCGACATCTCGGGCATCAATTTTTCCCGGATAGTCCTGCATCTATGTAAGAACTAAGAACACGCCGTGCTGGCTTTGCTGTGGGTGTCGACATGTTGACAAGCTGACGTGGGCAGTGGTCAGATGTGTCTTTCATGTCCAATGGTTGTTTTAAGAGTATCAAGAACCGATCAAGAACTATGATTTACTACATATCAGAATGTAAAGCAAGATATTGCCAGTTTTGGTTGTTGCTTGTCGCTCGTCACGTTGGTTGCAGCTCAAAGGGTGCCGGCCATTTGACCCCACACCGAAACCCCCCCGCTCTGCAACGCACCCTCCAGGTCGCACACCTCGGTGAGCGAAGGTGAGGCCAAATCGCCGGCACGGAAAAACCAAAGGGCCAGCTATCCCCCAAACCGCGGGCCTCACATTTTATCCTTCCACCACCAAACACCCGCGCGATCGCGACAAGCTGCCTAGCCGACCTCCCAATCCACCAACCCCCACAACAGCTTCCCCCCTCTCCCGACCGCAACAATGACTTCCACAATCGGCATCCCCATCAAGCTCCTCAACGAGGCTCAGGTATATTCAATCCCAATCCTTCACAGAAAGAGTGAACAGCACAGCTAACCCAGCGCGCGGAACAGGGCCACATCGTCACCCTCGAAATCACCTCGGGCCAAACCTACCGCGGCAAGCTTCTCGAAGGTACACACTTTCCCCGTCTCCCCATTCGGCTTATGCACAGAACCCGATTGCTAACATTCTACCGTACTCCAGCCGAGGACAACATGAACGTCCAGCTTAAGGACATCACCGTCACCGCCCGCGACGGCCGCGTCTCTCACCTCGACCAAGTCTACATCCGCGGCTCCCACGTCCGCTTCTTCATCGTCCCCGACATGCTTCGCAACGCACCCATGTTCCGCTCCCGCAACGTCCGCGGCCGCGGTGTCGGCATGGCCCGTGGTCGCGCGACCGTCAGCAGGGCCCGCGCCAGTGGTCGTGGAGGCAGGTAAACAGGAGACATCCGGGTTTGACGGACTATCTGGTGGCCATTCTGCAGGATTCTGGCGGCAGGCATGACGAGTGATCCAGCAACGATCTGGCATTGCCGATGGCGCTACTACTCAATACATATGACAAAAAAAAAAAAAAAACGCGTGCCGAACCACGCTTGATTCGACAAGAGGCAGGGCAAACCAAGGCGAGGCAGTCTGAGCAAAGGAAAAGCGGGCGGAACTCCAACACACCGATCTCGAAGAGAAAAAAGTTCACGGCGTTTTACGGTTTCTGGGTTCTGAATAAGGGGTTACGCAAGAGTGATTATATAGGGGATG